TGCTTGAAGCGCGCCCACCATAGACTTTGTATGTAAACCTGATGCTCCTGATGCTGAAATCGCGTTCAGTGTGAATGCACCATAAGAATACAAACATGTTCTTGCATGAGGCCCACTGAACTGACGAGGAGTGAAGAGCAGAACACAGATGTACATGGTGAGGACTAATCAAGGGAACAGGGAACACTTGGGGAGAGGAAATGAGGAACAGTAGGAAAGAAAACAGACTAAAACATAAAAAACAGAAACATAAGTGAACAACCAAACAAGGAAACTTCACCTTGAGACAAATGAAAGTGTCTGTGACGTACAATTACTGCAAACACATAAACTGAAAAAATAAAACACCTTAAAATTAAAGAACTTTGGTATAATATAATTTTACCCATTTTGTCACATAACTTGCATACTTTAGTTGTGAACTTGGCAAACCCGAAGTGAAACAGGAAGTGATGACAAAGAGGAACTCTCAGTTCAGTTCAATTCAATTCAACTGTCACAACAAACGTCCACTGTGAAAAAAATCAATCTAAAGAAGCAGCAGATTGTGTTGAATTTTCACTTCAACACAGTCTCCATCCTGAGCAGCACATGGTGACAGAGGAGAGGAAAAACTCCCTTTAACAGGAAGAAACCTCCAYCAGAACCAGAACCAGAACCAGGCCTCGTCTCTCTGACAGTGACTCAAATCATCGAAACATGAGATTATTCCCTGTTGAATATTGTTTATCTCAGTGAATTTGTTTTTGCAATTCGTTACTGAGTTTTTCTTTCAAATATTTAGGTACAAAGTGTAACTCAAACAAAAAAGCACAAACAGGTAAAATGATTCAAACTGAAAATAAATTAAATGTGCTGAACCTTCACTTGAGCAACTAAACTGAAACTTTTTGGATGGAAAGTTTTATATTTTTAACCGTTGTGTGTTTAGATGTGAATGCTTTGTCAGGTTACCTGGAACATGTTGTGTTCCTGTTTACGGTTCTGTCTGCGAGGTTTGTTGTGGACACTTGCTTTTGGACCGGCCTGGTAGAAAGTTCTTCGTTGAGGTCTTTGTCTCAGGCTCAACTGACCTGTCCCCGAAGACTTGTCCTGAAAACGTACAAACAAACACGCCATCACCCTCGAGGAGGTACACGTCACTTTAAAGTTCCCCAAAACCAGTGGTGAGCTCCAGCAGAAGCTTCCCTCAGTGAACATCAGAGGACGGTGTTAGCTTTCTGCTCTCTACTGGCTAGAAGACTTATTCTTCTTCGATGGAAGGATCAACATCCTCCAGTATATGGTCATTGGTTAAGAGAAGTTATGTCTTACATTCATTTAGAGAAGATTAGATATACTGTTAGGGGATCTGTAAACAAATTCTTTGACATCTGGCAGCCATTTATATCCTACGTGGAGAATATTTCAGCAGATAACTATGTAAAAGTCAAATATTGGTTCTTTGTACACAAACCTGTGACTTGTATTTTCTGTTATATGAATACAAGATGTATCTATGTTTGTTTTGGTAGATCCGGTATAGGTGGGGAGGGTTCTCGGGGGTGTGTGTTTTTTGTTAGTTTGTTCTTTGTTTATGATTTATGTTAAAAATAATAAAAAAAAACTTTGAAAAAAAAAACTGTGGTGGGGAGCGCTAATTCAAAAGTTAGTTCCGCAAATTCTAAACCACTAATTATTTTCTTTAGTTCTGCATCTTCTAAAGCACACATGTCAAAAATATTTTAGCGGAAGCTAAATAGATCTGCAAAACTGGCTCAGTTTACCAGAATATATATATA